TAGAAAGAGATTAGTAGCACAGTATAATAAATTTAGGCTGTGATAGTAGTATAAATTTTCGCTATTGTTACATTATAACATCACCGAACATAATATAATGTTAACCCTAAATAAACAATTCAATATGATTGCTTGTTAGCGCGTTGCCATAAGGCAGATCCTGAATAAATAGAACTAACATTTAAGGTCCTCCGATGAACATAATCAAAAAACTGATATAGCCTTGTCAGTCGTATATAATTATTCGCTCTAATTGCTTTAAAATTGAAAAAGCGGACTGTGTTTAAAAAAAAGTGTAAATGTGTAGATTTTATTTCAAACATCAAAGTAAAATTACAGTCTATAGAAATGTGTTCAAGTGCTGGACACAGGACTCTAAATTTTGAGTGAGTGCTGATAGACTTTACACGTCTTAGAGGCATTGTATTTTTAAATAAATTTTTTTCGGCTTCCTTGATTGCAGAACATAAAGCAATTAACAATTTCACTGACACAGCGAGGATCGATTAGATCGAAATCGAGTTACTCGCGTACTACGTACTACTACTCTATTCTACTACGGCAATTCTGTGAGCAAATTCTTTAAATAAGCATATAATTAATACAACCAACGATGATATTCGACAAAATAATGTACTGTGGTATATATTATCAGATGTTTAAACATTTTTAACTACGACAGTTACTTATTTCTGGAAAAAAATAGACTATATGTCCTGGCCTCCAGACCTTTGACTCGAATTGGGAACTTTCTACTTTTTCAAGTATATTTAGCGACTCGCCCTGGCTTCGCGTAGTTAATTGCAATTTTAAGTGCTCATTTACCACGTGCTCGACGGTGAAGAAAACATTGTGAAGAAACCTGCATGTCTGAGAAATTAAAAAATATTTAGAAGACACGTGCAGTCTGTTAACACGCCTTAGGTCAGCGCGGCGCACACTTCCTTGCGTTAAAACTCTCTCAGAAATGAGTGGAGGCTTGTGCCCAGAAGTGGGACGTATATAAGCTGTAACTTTACGTTTATTGTAATTTAATGTTAAGTATCGGTGTCGTTAAATAAAATTAATTTTACGGATTTTATTGCGTTTAATTGAAATAATTTACTTCTTTTAATTACCGACATTTCGGTTGCTTTACAGCACCCATGGGTCACGGGCGTTTAGCGTCCTGATATTTTAGTTAACGAAGGCTACCTTCAACATTTAAGTATTAATCTTATACTATCGCGGTCCCCTCGTTTTTTGGCTCTAGAAAATCGAAAAATCATCCGATTTCGACGATTTTTTTTAAATCTTCATTTTTACGACGAAAAATGAAGACTTATATTGGTTTCAGGGCTTTAAATGTTCAATAAAATGAACTTGTTCACGTATAATTGTGAGAAGCCGTGGTAGCTCAGTTGGTTAACGCTCGCTGTAAATATAACAAAACGAGAGTAACCTGGGTTCGATCCCCGCCGGCACCAATGAAATTGTTAAGTGCAATTTTGAGTGCTGATTTAACACGAGCTCGGCGGTGAAGGAAAACATAGTGAGAACATGCAGAAAAATATTCTAACCTAACCTGTCCGAGGCGGGATGCCCTAAGTCCCGAACTCGCTTCGCTCGATCTTACAATCAATAAAACACCAAAATAAAAAATTAATAAACAAACATTCTTCATGTTTTTTTTTAATTTGCTTGTTTTTTTGTGTAGATTATGAAAAAAAAACATTTTCATTCGATTATTTGTAAAAAAGTTATGAACGATTATATTCGAAGAAGTGCCTTTATGATCACATTTAAAGTCATAAAACTATATGAAATCTTCAGGTGAGATGTTTTCCATATTTTTTTTTCAAATATCCGCCATAAAAACGAAGATTTAAAAAATCGGAAGATTTTTCGATTTTCTAGAGCCAAAAAACGAGGGGACCGCGAAAGTATAAAATTACCTTAATTTTTGACCCAATCTACATAAAACGAGCTTACATTACCTCTCTATCAGAAATGCAGTAGTATGCTTAGCTTGGGTTTGGATAAGTTTGACATTCTAATATCATAGTAACGCTTCTGCTATTAAATATTAATTTTTGGTGGTTGGTTTGGATTTCATTTATTCATAGGATCCCAAGCAGAAGCCTCTCGTACGGGGCATCTTACATAGGACAAACAAAAATTTCGATAATAACCAGTGTAAAGGAACATATAGCGTACTTGAAACACCGACGATTCGTGAAGTCTGTGGAGTCTGTAAACATGTTTAAGATTGTTATTATATTGCAAATTATTCAGCCCTTCCGTGGTGAGCATGAGTGCTGTAAGGCACCCGAAACTTCGAAATCATTGGACGTAACTCTTTAAAGAGCTGTACAAAATAACTATCGCCTTTTCCTTTAATTTTTATTTTATTTTTCATTTAAATAATAAACATTTTTACATTTAAAATAAAATCGGTACGTACGCTTTACACATAAGTTATAGTAAATTCGGCAAATCACTGCAGTGTTCATTTAAAAGCCCATCGAAATTGCCCGACTATAAATCGGGCTCTCTACTCTACGCGACCCTGTAAATTACGCCTTTGTGTGAACAGGGCGGGTCCGTCTAAAATATGTACGAGTACGACATTACACTACGTACGCTTTTCAAATCTATTTTAAAATAAACCGAACGTTAAATTTACAAATGAAACAATTGAGATCTTACCAATAAAATAAAGTATTTTATCAAAATTATGTAGTAAACCGGTTTCCTTTTCTATTCATATTTTATGTAAATTATACTTTTATTTAATAAATACTATGGACATTTAATACCCAGACGTCAGTCTAAGCCAGATACAATGTTCTACAGCATCTTAAAAACGCTAAAGCTGGCATTACGGAAAAAGTGTATGCTTCTGAAAGACTACACGTACCGGTTGTACTTGAAGTCTTTCAGAAGCTCTTAAATTTCATCCTCCATGGTGGCACTACTCTGGAAGTGTGGAGGAAAAGTGCGGTGGTCTTGTTCTTTAAGAAAATGGAGAACACTGGACAATGAAGACACATAGATGCGGTGAATTAGCACAGTTAATAGGACACTATCGCACCAACCGTACGCTTAGCTAACAGTGCAGTAATCAACTAAACATTACCGATTAACAAAATAATAACAAAATTATCTGACACTTGTGTTGAAAAGGTCCAAATTCAATGATTGAGGCTTCAGTAAAGTTCTTCCTCACTCGCTACACACGCATAGCTACGAGGGCGACATTGAAAGTTTTAGAATGGCCAGCTGTAAACGATATAATAAAAAAATAAGTTCAAATTTTAATTAGGGTTCCGTAGTCAACTAGGAACCCTTATAGTTTCGCCATGTCTGTCTGTCCGTCTGTCCGTCCTCGCTTAATCTCTGTGACCGTTAGCACTAGAAAGCTAAAATTTGGTACCAATATGTGTATCAATCACGCATAAAAATTGGAAAAAAATGTTTTATTAGGGTAGCCCCTCTATATGTAAAGTGCGAAGTGATTTTTTTTAATTTCAACCCTAACGCGTGATATGTTGTTGGAAAGGTATTTAAAAATGAATAGGGGTGTACTAAAATCATTTTTGATAATGTCAATAATTTCGGAAATAATCGCTCCAAAAGTGAAAAACAATATGTCCCCCTCCCCCTCTAACTTTTGAACCATAAGTTTAGAAAATATGAAAAAAATCTGAAAAGTAGAACTTTATAAGGACTTTCTAGGAAAATCACTTTGAACTTGGATGGACTGTTGTTTCCATCCAAGTTCCCACTCACTACCGGGAGCAGTTGCAGGAGCGCGGAGCGCTGCTGGAGCGCGAACATAATGGATACCCACCTTTAAACTCATAAGTGGGAACTTATTGTGACGGACAGGAAACTACGGAACCCTACACTGAGCGTGGCCCGACACGCTCTTGGCCGGTTATTTTTCATTTGTTTACGATTTGGCGGCAATTTGAAAATTGTCTGTGTCACGTCAACATGAATTTAATGCGAAAAAATTTTCGTACACAATAATTTTTTATAGAGATCCGCTGAATAGCACTTTTGCCGAGTACCGAGTAACGAGTTTTACTCGGTAAAATTTTTTTTCCAACCAAGTAACTCGGTTCTATCAAATTCCTGTTTCAGGCGCGTGAACAAGTACAAACTACAAACAGGTTCACGAGGTGCGAGCGGCAGGCTTGCATTGATACACCCCTCACCCCGCCCGCGACTTTCGTCTATCAGTCGCTTGCTAGTTTACAAACAAATACGTCACTTTGCACGTCATAGTAGACGAATAATTGAAAACTTGTGTTAATTAACTGAGGAGGTACTTTTCAAAACTTGACTATTCCATTTTCGCCCAAAGTAGATTTTTTTAATTTTTTTTAGGTTGGTTACATTGAAATGTATATGCATCGAAAACAAAATCCTGACAAAACGTGATAGATCAACTAGAAAAATATATTTAAAAACGCATGATTTCGTCAAAAGTAGATTATTCCTAAAAAAAAGAAGGTTAAAAATAAGGATTTAAGAAACTGCAACAAAACATGATTAATCCAGAAGATATTTTTTTTATCACTGGAAATTGTAACAAAACATGTTTTTTCCTCATATTTTTAAGGTGGTTGTTGTTATGTTCTCATTGGTGCCAAGGCTGCCATGTTTTTGAACGGTTGATGACAGGCTCAAAAGAGCAAGAACCCAGAGCCGTAAACGTGTTAAAAAATTCCTATTTGACATCCGTTATATTTCAAAACCAAATATTTTTGTCTGTCGCGATCAGTTGCAGTTTATAAAACTTTTGGGAAGCGCGGGAAGTTCTGAAGTAGGCGGGCGTCCTTTTTTGGCTAAACTTTTGAAAATTAAATTAAATTGATATTACGGGATCAGTTAAGTTGTAAAGTATATATATTAGTAGTTATTGTTGATTATTTATAGTTTTAGCTTGATTTCTTCATCTGGTAAGTCATTTCATTGTATTATATGTAAATAGGACTTTTCTTTTGGCGTCCATGTTGGAGCCCGAAGACCCTGGAGGGACATCCCTCCAAGTGTCTCATGTAGTCACAATCGATGCGTCGGGAATGGAAACGGAAGGTTCAATTATAGATACAGACTGTTCGGAAAACACGAAATCGGTGAAAAGAAAGAGAATTTCAGCTAGAAACCAAAAGAAGAGAAGGAATCACAGACAAACGGGTCTATCAGACTGCCAACTTTCCCCTAACGATTTAAAGGATAATGTTATTACTAAATTGCTTGATTCTGATGATAAAAACACTGAAATTCACCATAATGATGACACTCACTCTAACAATATTACAAGTAACCCCCGCGCTGCTAGGTTGCTTTACCAGGCGTCAGATCCTGCGCCTTATGTTGTCCATGTCCAAAAAAATCTTACAACCAAATCAAACTGGATCTATTCACCCAGTACAATTTGGATTATTCCTTAAAAAAATTTAATAAAAAGCATTGTAGAGGGAAGCATCAAAAAAATTGGAAGAAACAGATTGTATTTACAATTTGAAACATTTCAGGATGCTAACACATTTCTAAATCACAAATCTCTTGATGTTAATAAATACAAAGCATTTATTCCAGCCTTCACTATCACCCGCATGGGAATAGTGAGAGGTGTTCCATGTGATTGGGATGAGAAAGATATAATGGAAAATATAGATCTTCCGCAGAACTGTGGAAGTATTTTGAAAGTTCGGAGATTAAACAGAAAGGTATATGACGGCGAAACGCCCAAGTTCATTCCAACTGAGACTGTAGTTTTAACCTTTGATGGGAAGGTGCTACCTCCCAGGGTCTTTATATGTTTCAACTCCCTATCTGTAGAGCTTTATATTTACCCCACGCTGCAATGCTTTAATTGCTGTCGTTTTGGTCACACCAAAATGCAATGCAGAGGCTCTCCAAGGTGTTACAAATGTGGAGACAACCATTCAGGTATAAGCTGCGAGACTGAAAGAGATGATGCTGTGTGTATCTTATGTTCTGGTTCCCATTTCGCCACAGACAAAAAGTGTCCGGAGTACGCTAGGCAAAAAGCTATAAAAGAAACAATGGCTAGAAACTCTATATCTTATTCAGAAGCCAGTAAAATCCACCCACCAGTTTCGAAATCTTATGCTGACGTTATTGCTTCTGCTTCATTGGCCCCTTCTGGTCGAACTATTACTTATTCCAGCCCCTATAATTCAACAAGCCCTTCTAAGAGTCACACACAGTCATATAGGAAAACAGTATTCTCGAAACCCAAAGCTCGTCCCAGAAATACTAGTAAGGGATATGATCAAAAAGCGCATGCAGAGCTTATCCAAGATTACAGCAACATTCCTTCCTCTTCTACAGGTTGTCTCAAAAATTACAAAGATCTATCAGAAATAATAACAAAGGATCTCATCATTTCTATAATTCAGTACCTTTCACAACATAACCTAATTAAAATACCGTCCAACGATGCTGCTTCTTCAAAAAGTTTTTTAACTCATGGACAGTCAGGACCATCCACGAAACCAGTCTCTGGTGATTCAATGGAATTGCCGGAGTATTAATAGCAAAAAAAGTGACCTAATTTTCTTATTGAATAGTTACAAACCATTTGCAGTCTCTCTTCAAGAGACTTGGCTTCGTCCCGGATTCAACTTTAGAATTCCAGGACATATCTGTCTTAGAGAAGACAGAACAGATGGGTATGGAGGAGTTGCACTAATTCTGAAGGGCGGTGTGCCCTTTGTCCACATACCCATACCTAATCACAGTAATAAATTTTCAATTATTGCTGTTAGTGTAAATAATATTTGTTTTATAAATATGTATATATCTCACCCTTCCACTGAAGTCTTTGACGATATTCGTAGCATCCTATCTTCCCTCCCACGCCCTATATTGGTCATGGGAGACTTCAATGCACAACATTCTATGTGGGGAAGTTCTAAGTCTGACCATTATGGGGCTAGAATGTTAGACATCTTAGATGATAATAATTTATGCCTTCTAAACTATGGTTGTCCTACTAGAAGGACTCGGCCCCATGAGGGTATTAGTGCACCAGACCTTACCCTGTGTAGTCCCTCCCTAGCGCCTACATTAAACTGGTGGCCTCTATCGTCGTCATATGGAAGTGATCACTTTCCGTTAATTATATCATTTCCTCAAAAAATTGGCGAAAAGATGTATAAGGCTCCTCCCCGGCTAAAATATAAACTTAACGATGCCAACTGGTCATTATATAGAGATAAAGTTCAACAAAATTTATCAACTATACCTCCAAAAAATTACAGAAAAAATTCTACAACACAAAATTTTAATATTGTTTGTAACCTTATAACTAAAACACGTAAATTATTAAAACAAAAAAGATTTAATGGCTGGAAATCTTTTTGTGCCTCAATTTCACCACACATTTCTCCATCTGAAGTTTGGCAAAATATTCGTAGATTCAGATCCGCTTTTAAGCCTCCAAGGTTTCCTTTTATGGATAGCAGTACAGTTGATTTGTTTCTTGACAAATTAGCCCCACCATTTGTCCCATCTATAGATAATATTTCTTCTGACCAACAGTCTTCTCTCCTCTCCCAGCATGATAGTAGCGATTCATTCATTTTCTTTAGCCTTTCAGAACTCAAAGGGGTTCTTTCAAAACTTAGGGACTCAGCCCCAGGTTGTGATGGAATCCCATATTCTTTTCTTCAAAACCTGAACGACTCCTGCCTTTCTTATTTTCTTAGTTTAATTAATTCAATTTTAATAACAGGTAATATTCCTCCATCATGGAAAATTCATGAAATTATCCCAATACATAAGCCAGACAAACCGATTAATGATCCATCATCTTACAGACCAATTGCATTAGCTTCAGTTATTTCCAAAATTTCTGAACATTTAGTTAAAAATAGGTTAGAATGGTTTATTGAGAGTAAGGGGTTACTATCTCCAAATCAGTTTGGATTTAGGAAAGGTAGGAGTACAATGGATAGTCTCAGCATTTTTATGACAGACTTAAGATTGGCATTTTCGCACAATAACTCTGTGTTAGCAGCATTTTTAGATGTATCTGCAGCCTATGATAATGTCAACCTTTCAATTCTGAAACAAAAAATGATTAATTTGGATATCCCACAAATTTTTATAAGATTTACAATCAACCTTCTCTCTGGTAGAATGCTTAAAGTAATATCAGAAGACTCTTACCAATCCCGTATTGCCTGGAAAGGTATACCCCAGGGCTCAGTTTTAAGTCCCTTAATTTATAATATATATTCTCATGATCTGGAAGCCTCCCTTAAGGGTAAAGTTAGCACTCTCCAATATGCAGATGATTTACTCCTCTATGTCTCTGGTGATTCTGTTCACAACATGTCTGATACTATGACATATTCCCTTAAGTTACTAAAAGTTTGGCTTGACAATAACTGTCTCAGCCTTTCAGTTTCTAAAAGTAGTATAGTCTTATTTTCTCGTATGAGGGTTCCACCTCCAGTGTCTGTACTTTATAATAACATTAGAGTTCCCGTTAAAAGCGAAGCAACATTTCTTGGAGTAATTTTAGACTCGAGACTTACAGGCATCCCTCATTGCTACTATATAAGTGCCAAATGTGAGAAGATTCTAAATATACTGCGCTGCCTCTCTGGAGTTTGATGGGGAGCCCACCCTTTCTCTCTAAAGCTTCTATATAATGCCCTTATAAGGAGTATTTTAGACTATGGAACATTTATTCTTGAACCCTGTAATGCAGTAGCTCTCCATAAATTAGACATTATCCAGTCTAAGGCTCTGAGAATAATTGCTGGGGCTATGCGTTCGAGCCCTATTAACGCTTTGCAGGTTGAATGTTCTGAAGCGCCCCTGCATCTCAGACGACAATTTCTTTGTGACAGGTTCCTGTTTAGAGCATTCCAAGTCTATAATCATCCTCTTTACTCTAAGTTACGGTCTCTGTTGGAATGTATGGATTATCCGTACTGGGTTCATAAATCGTTGCCATGCCTTATTGTTAGTCTCCAAAAATTCTTAGCTCTTCAAGCTCCAACACATAGATCACAATTCCTTCCTATATTTTGTGTTAACTATGATGCCTTAATTTTAAAACCATCTATTTTGTTTGATTTCGGTGTATGTAAACAAGATACTTCTGCCAACGTCAAATTTATTAATATAGTTGACAGTGACAGCCGATGGAAACATTGCCATTTAATTTTTAGTGATTCTTCCAAACCCGGTTCCGAGAAGTGTGTGGGAGTTGGTGTTTTCCATCAACAGTTTGGCATTGTACAGAAAATAAAATTGCCTCCAGAGACTTCAGTATTTACTGGAGAATGTTTTGGTCTGTTGAAGTCTCTGGAGTACATTTTAATCATGAAGTTAAAAAACTCAATAATTTTTACTGATGCTAAAAGTGCCTTACAAGCCTTGGAAAGATTTCCTTTTAGCAATAACAGAAACAATCATCCAGTTATTATTGCATGTCGTGATTTATTGTATCAATGTTACATCAAAAATTACACAGTTTCCTTTGCTTGGATTCCGGGGCATTCAGGTATCTTTGGCAATACCAAGGCCGATAGCCTTGCCAAAGCTGCAGTCAATGACGGAGATCTAGTTCCGTACAAAAACTTTTGTTGTGATTTGGCTCTCCTTCCTAAATCCCAGTTATTGAATTCTTGGACACATATTTGGCGTTCTTCAAGTCAGACTATAGGTCGATATTATAGCACGATCCAGGTGGATATACCTCATAAACCGTGGTTTTCAAATCTGACGTTTGGTAAAGCTATCACTTCGACCCTTATTCGTATGAGGCTGGGCCATGCATGCATTCCCTTGCATTTGGCACGACTTAAACTTTTGCCTAGCGATATATGTGAGTGTGGCAATGACGTTGGGGATTTTAACCATATATTTTTTGCTTGTCCTCGACTTGACCGTTCCGCTTTTATTTCCTCGCTTTTGTCCATTAAAATTCCTTTTCCTACTTCAATTTCTGTCCTTTTATCTTATGTAAATATTGATGTATATAGAATTTTAGCCAGTTTCATTTTTCATAACAATATAAAATTATAATCATTTATGTACTTATATACTAAATTTACCTGATCCTTTTTTCAAATTCCGTTCCAACTTCCAATTCAATAAAATAAATCTTACTTCCTAACCTTCTTGCATGGCTGACGCACAAACCGTGCAGGCCAAGAAAGGGAAAAATAAAAAAAATTTTTATGCGTTGCGAATTGTGTTTTCGACATTTCGAGGATCAAAATAATTTTGAGAAATGCAGTCTAAAGATATAAATACAGGTTAAATCAAAGATATAAATACAGGTTCAAGAAGTAGAAAGCGCGGACGACAAAATCGAAAGAAGTAAGTTTTTGTGTCTTAAACCTAGCTACAAATCTATTGTCTTAAAACTTCTGCGTTTATGAGTTAATTCAATCAAATTTTT